GACTTTAAAAGAAAAAAGAATAGAGCAAACCTGGTCTCGCTTGCAGATCTAGGAATTCAAAGATACTTTTTCTAGGAGTTCCTAAGCTTCACAGATGAACAGAAGACTTTGTCGAAAGGTACTTTCGAGGTTGACTATTCTAGAAACTACCTGCTTTGCCTTTAATAGAGAAAATAAGGGCGAATTTGGTATTACTGACAGTGAAGAGTTATGTAACAGGACAATTTTTCGCAAAGTTTTTTGGGCTCAAGAGACTTTGCCGAAAGATAATTTTGAGATTTAATACTTTGAGATCCTCCTACTTTTGCCTCCGAAGGAAAAAAGCAGGGCCCTGCTACCAGAATTGACCAGGGACTTTACGCGACAGGACACTTTTTCTAAGAACTCCTACGCTTCACCGATAAATAAAAAGCCTCACTGAATGATGTTCTTGACGTTTTCTACTCTAAAAAACTTCCTACTTTTGCCTGAAAGGACAAAGTAGGAAGTTTAGCAAAATCAAGTTCGCCCCAGTTATTCAGGGGCGAACTTGATTTTGCTGTCAGAAAATACCGGGAACTTCACGCAGGATGACACGTTTTCGGGATTATCGATTACTTTTATCGATTTTATCGATTTTTTGCAAAGTTTGAGCTAGGGGGCTGGGAGTTGGCACAGGGGGGTAATCGAGCATGCTGATCACCCCCAAGGGGAGTGATCAGCATGCTCGATTACACTCCTGTGCCAAATTCCAGCCCCCTAGCTCAAATTTTCAAAAAATCGATAAAATCAATAAAAGTAATGGACGATCTTGAAAACTAATATTGTATTCGTAATCTGCATGCTCGATTACCCCCCTGTGCAAACTCCCAGCCCCGCAGGTCAAACTTTACAAAAAAAATCGATAAAATCGATAAAAGTAATGGACGATCCTGAAAACTAATATTGTGTTCGTAATCAGCATGCTCGATTACCCCCCTGTGCAAAATCCCAGCCTCGCATGTCAAAATTTACAAAAAATCGATAAAATCAATAAAAGTAATCGATAATTCTGAAAACTAATATTGTACTCGGAATCCCCATGCTCACTTCCCCCCCCCGTGCCAACTCCTAGCCCTGTAGGTGAACTCTGCAAAAAAATCGATGAAAATCGGTAAAATCGACATCGATCGATAACGAAAAGTGGACTGTGACACCCGCCGGGGCCCGAAGTGTATGTGTGCCAAGTTTGGCCCGGATACGGCGGAGCCGGGTAAGCCAGCTAGTATATGTATATATAAGTGTACATATATATATATGTATATATGTACACGTAATATGAATTCTACAAAGTCTAAACTAACCAATTTATTACTTCTAAAATGACATAAGGATTAATTGGAAACTTCATTAGCACGTAGTGAATTTACTTCAATCTTAGGAACATTTCAATGTTCCTAAGATTGAAGTAGTTATGTTAGAGTTATGAGTTAGAGTTAGAGTTATGTTCAATGTAGCCACGCAAGAAAATCAAATAAGAACTTCGGGGGAGTCAAACTATTAGGTTGTCAAGAAAATAATGTCGGTTTTTATTTGCTTGCTTTAACAAAGCAACCAGACTCAACCCAACAAAGGTTAAGGGGTACTGTTCGATAGAGCAAAGCAAGCTCTACAAGATGGCACTCATGTCTTTGCGCCATGCTCGATCCACGGAGAGTACGAACGCAAAATCTAAAAATTTCCAAATGCCCAAAAAATCGAAAAAAATCAGATCTTCGTCCAAATAATTTCTACGGACCTCCCACTTGCCCACATCAATACTATCGATATCTGATATCCATATGTGCAATTGCCGTATTTTTTCCTTGACTAGAAATTGAAAAAACGAAAATTTCCCTGATTTTCTCAAAGCAATGCTGAGCCGTTTTTGCATATGTAGTTCTATACTACAAGCCTAGGTAAGCATAACTATAGGTTTTCAGCCTATTTCGAGCGGTACTTTTCGAGAAATGTTGATTTTAGCACTGAAACTGAAACGAAAAAATCCGAATTTGTTATTTTTCGAAAACTACCGCATGGAATGGGCTGAAAATCTACAGTTATACTTACCTAGGCTTGTAGTATAGAACTACATATGCAAAAACGGCTCAGCATTGCTTTGAGAAAATCAGGGAAATTTTCGTTTTCTCAGTTTCTAGTCAAGGAAAAAATACGGCAATCGCAGATATGGATATCAGACATCGATAGTATTGATGTGAGCGAGTGGGAGGTCCGTAGAAATTATTTGGACGAAGATCTGATTTTTTTCGATTTTTTGGGCATTTGGAAATTTTTAGATTTTGCGTTCGTACTCTCCGTGGATCGAGCAGGCGCAAAGACATGAGTGCCATCTTGTAGAGCTTGCTTTGCTCTATCGAACAGTACCCCTTACCCTTTGTTGGGTTGTGTCTGGTTGCTTTGTTAAAGCAAGCAAATAAAAACCGACATTATTTTCTTGACAACTTAATACTATGTTTACTATCTTAAAGGCACCGTCCACCCAAAGCGAAGTTGATGAGATTTCGGTGGCATACTAGTGTGGGCCCCCACACTAGTATGCCACCGAAATCTCATCAACCTCGCTTTGGGTGGACGGTGCCTTTAAAGCTTCACGATATGGAGATACATGATGAGATAGAAGTATGCTTGGTAATCTTCTAAACAATGAGAATCTCGGAATGCAATTAAGTGATACGCAAAAGCGGGAGTAGAGTTAAGGTAAATGGTATGATAGTGACATGTAAGTACAGCAAACTAGAAAAAAGTAGTAGCAGATCGGCTAAAACTCGTCGGGGCTGGCCTTTTCTATTTCCTTGACAGCAGAAGAGCTGCTTGCCGTAGTCTCGATCACACGCTTCTTCTGAAACAAAAGTCATGTCGACGAAGACTGGGAATAAGTGCTCTGACATCTTACCTTTGGAGGAAGGAGTTTAGCTCTTACCGGATTCAGTGTATAAGCTCATACATCTCCCATCTACTCTCCATCTCCATCATCACGCCTTGAAATACCTTGAATGCCTCAGCTGGTTCCTAAACCAATGTAATTTGAACTCAAATTCCACAATCCCACAATCACAGAGATAGTCGAGCTTCGATTTCTAGAGAATAATCAAAATTGGATTTTAAATAAAGTTAATTTTGGATTGGAATGAAATATTGGAAAGAAGATGGCTTAGGTGGGATGGATGGAATGCACGAATTGAAAATAGGTAGCAAAAAAACCTGGAATGATGCAATATGAGCTGAGATTTGAAATGCGCGTCGATATTGCGAAACTGCTCGCTGAGTCACTCATCATCTCCCGATTTCCTTTCGCGACCATCCGCAAAAACTGTCAAAATATTGTCTCGCGCATGGCTACGCCCTTTCCCGCGAATCCCTCAAAAGTGGGCGGATCTCCGGCGCGAGTCAACAGCGAGTGTCTGAGTCTAGCGAAGAAAATGATTCGTCCACTCGTGAAGTCAGCGAGAATGGCACACAAGAGGATAAAAAAGTTGGCGCGCCGCCAACGTTGCTTCGCACCAATGCAACGGTAAGCAACAAAGCTTTCCTCTCAAAATATTGAAGTAGATTTGTTGAATTGCTTAATAAAGTTGTAGCTATGTAACGAATAAATGCTTACCTACTCACTTTGTATGTTCAAGCTTTCGCCGTCGCCCTCGTCAACGGCTGGATCAACACCTCGTCGGCAAACTGTCTTGCCGGAACAACGCAAAAAACCAGAGTTCAAAATGTTCCTTGTGCGAAAACTCGCTGATCAAGCCCATGTGCTTGGTGATACTATTGTTGATGACAAAACAGGTAGTGAATTTATTTATTTATTTATTTATTTATTTATTTCAATACACTCATGGTGTGCCTAAATGAGAAAAAGAAGAAATAGACAAAGCAACTATGAACAAAACGAGAATCCAACCAGTCTCAATCGCAGGAGTTAAAAAAGAATAGAGAAATAGAAGAAAGGATGAAAGAACCCATTCCCCAGGCCTACCAAGACGTTCAATCACTTAAAAAAGTCAAGCTGCGAACGACCTTTATAGACTGTATAGAATCCAAATCTTGCTCGCTCTAAAATTATTGTGGCCCACCCCGTCATTTGAGTGTCAGCGAGCCTGCGGGTAAAGCTAGCTGACTGGCCCCCAGTAAAGATCTATTTTAGAGGAGAGCAAGATCTATTGAACATCTAGATAAACTTTTCAAGTAGAAGTGGCAGGGCATGGGGCTAGGTAGCTGCGATACAACGCCATCAGAAAACCCCTTGTTGATAAGACTGGTTGGTTCACGGTCAGCAAATATAAACATGGTCAAAACGACTACTACAGAGATGAATGGTACCATAGATGTACACTCATTCTAATAAGAGGCAAAAAAATTGAGGATAAATGGCAGAAAAGATAAGCTTCGTAGTCCGTAAACTCAGTTTGAAAGACGGTATAAAATTTTGTAGTAACACAAAGCTCGAAATCACGCCAGAACTAGCACGACGACCTGAAAAAAAAACAATATCGAGATAAACAGAACACTAAAGCAAAAATGAAGAAAGACTAAGATAAAGCAACTTGCGAATATCGAGATTACTTGTCCACCTTCATGACCTGAATCAAACTGGGTGAAAATCAACAAAGATAAGAATTACAATTCAGAACCTCAGAGATTTCCATCTTTTGAAGACCCTTTTTGAATAACCACCCATTTTTTGATGACAAAAGTTCAGTTGGTAATCGATTGATAATAATAATAATATTAATAATAATTTGCAAGCTTTTCTAAAATGTTGATCACTTTTTCCCTTCAGGAGAGCCCCTCGATATTGAAGGAACATATCTTTCATTAACTGGTATAATCTTCGTAATGGAAGACCATTCATGAGCGTAGAAAATAGAAGAAATCTGGTATGTATCCATACTAGTTACGAAACGGTTTGTCTTCTTGGTAGCTAGTTTGCAATGGTTTACGTACATTTTCCTTCAAATATCTTGCTGTATCGGAAATTTTGCAGCAAAATGATACCGAAAGGGGAGCAGCTTGCTAAACAGCTGAGGAAGTTTGCTTCGGGAACATCTGGCGATCCTACGCTCCATGACATGCTGGTAGGAAGTGTACCTGCACTGCTTTGTTTGTTCAATCATTACATTCGCAGGGCACGTTCTCAGAAACGGAGCGGCTAAAGCCAGAAGAATCATGGTATTGCAACAAATGTCGTGATCACGTAGAAGCTACGAAAAATTTGGAGCTGTTCCGTTTGCCGCCCGTACTTATAGTGCAGTTGAAAAGATTTGTTTATACAGGTGAGGATCATCAGTCACTGAGTTTTAGACTTTTATCTTCTTTTTCTTTTTGTTCATATTACTCATTTATGTGAGAGCTATGCAATTCTTCGCTTTTGGTTTATTTATAAACAAATAGATTTGATGTTTCACCACGCGTGGCATTGAGTTCCTCTAACTTTTGTTGTGCCACATATCAAACAATGCATCGTAGAAGTAAGGATGAACGCAGAATTATCTACCCTATTTCTAATCTCGACATGTCTCCCTTCTTGGCAGAAACAGCGCCAGATCATCAGAATACTGTAAGTCTTCTACTCTCACTGATCTGATCAAAATGATTTTCCTCACAGATTTATGATTTGACCGGTGTTGTTTGTCATTTTGGAAGTAGCTATTTTGGACATTATGTTAGTATCGGACGACTTGCTGGCTTTGACTCTACTGAAACTGTAGTTGGTAAGATCCAAATCGGAAATTTGGCCTCAAGTGAATTTAATCTAATGGGGTTATGTTCTAGATTGGCACCTCTTCGATGATTCGATCGTATCAAAGCAATCCCTCAGCAGTGTACAATCTGATGATGCCTACTTACTCTTCTACAAACAGCGCGGCGTGCCTACGAAGTCGATATTCAGGTACGCATTGTCTGTACTTTCTCAGTCTGGTGGTCTTTACTGACTATGCAGTTCATGATGCTAGTTGGAACATTTCTTTGCCTAATTTGTAGATATCTGATTTTTGCTGCGTTTTGATTTTTGGAGCAGCTGTTTAATGTTAATAATTCGTATATAGATGAGCTAAAAAGCTCTCTAAATCAATCTTAGTTTCATCATCTTACCTTTGAATCTCATAATCAGTTTCGTATATTCCATTTATGCAGGAATTTGTATGCATTCAAATAAGGTTTGAACATCAGAATCATTTTATTCAGAAAGCACTATTCTTGTGATCCTACCGAAAAAGCGGAAACGGACTCCAACTCATAGGTGCGATGGGGTGAGCAAAAGCTCACCCCCCCCTTCACTTTGGAGGTCGGACCGCCCCCCCCCCCCCCCTTCACCTGAAAGGGACGAAAAATTTTTTGCAAGGTGAGGAATTACTGCACACGGAATTACAAAATATTGAATGAAAAAATGCATTTTTAGAAGGATCGGATGTTGTAAAAATGGGTTCGAACTACAACGATATGGGCAGCGGGCAATGGCAGACATTAAGAAGCTTGAAGGGCGCTGATGGACAGCTTTATTGGAAAATATTGATGTGAACGATGTTAATAAGAGCCATTGATCATGAATTTTTTTGCAAATAAATTGTTTTGTCGGTATTTATGTGCTACAATAAAAGAATTTGTTGTTCATTTGTGTTTGCTTAGAGCTTAATAAACATATAGAGTCCAGAATAATGATAAAAATAGTATAAATGATGTCAGGAGAAATTTCTAGGGCAGTTTAGTTGAAATCACAGTGTTGGTCATTTTTAAGGAAAGTCAGTTTTTGATTTAGTATAACTTAAGTCAGTTGCATAATATCATCTTGCGAGAGTATAGGCGTTAGTAAGTAACCTTTCCTCTATCACATAGAAAAAAAATGGATCCTAAAAAGAATTCCTCTTAGAGTTACGAAGTCGCAAATAGGGCAGAAAACACAATTCCAGAAATCGATTTTTCGCAAATAACTTGTGTATATGTAAACGAATTTGAGATGCGAGGGTATAGGTAGATTCTAATCTTCAAGAGCTCTCGATTGATATATAGCATGTGGGGGTCCTATGTTTTTTAAGCCCTGCGAGGGTGGGTGAGCGGCCTCAGTTCAGGGTGCTCACCCCCCGCCACCTTAAGGCTCCCGCCAGAGTGCCGAAGCCATGCCAGCGCTACGCCAGCGCCGCGCTAGCGCCTAGTCAGCGCCGTGCCGACACAGCGCTGCCACGGGTCCCGCCGCGATTCACGATCAATTGCAGGGAGCGTCCACCTCGTCAGGGACGCCATCACTTCATCTTTTTCGCTCCTTTTTCTCCTTCTCGCGCTCTCCTTCATCCTTTTTCCTTCCCTATTGTTTTTTAATATTCCTTTTTTTCAGGAGATGCTCTCTTGCCAGTTTTTCTCGAACTCGAGTGGAGGAAAACGCTTTTGCGCGGCGCGTCCGGCTGTACAGAAGGGGACTTTTCTCCAAGCAAGGAAGGGTACGAGATTATGGATCGATTTCGCGCATTTCCAGCTATTCTATTTTCAGCCTGCTCGTCTACAAAATTCCTGCCGGCCACGTAGTGGCATAATAACAATCTCACAGTGACTTCGGAATCAAATCGCAGGAATAAGTGTATGCTGATCAAAAGATAACCATCAAAAGAAATGCTTCAGAGCAACGACAGTGAATATGAGAAAGATGCAAACGAATTAAAGAATGAAAGAGGAGATCCCACCTGTAAGCTGCAAAAACTGCGCCCAACCGTTTCGATTTCACTTGCCTTCGAAGAAACACCGGCGAGGAAGCGCTTCCTGCAACAAAAAAAGTATTAAGAAACAACAGAGGGATCGAAAAAAGACAAAGAGGAGCGCAGAGAGAAGAGGAGACACAAAATTGAGAGAAAACGGACGAAAACGCAAGGTTCTGGCTTTCCTGGCAGGTGGACGCACCCTGCAATTGATCGTGAATCGCGGCGGGACCCGTGGCAGCGCTGTGTCGGCGCGGCGCTGGCGTAGCGCTGGCATGGCTTCGGCACTCTGGCGGGAGCCTAATGCATTAGAGAGGCGCCGGGAGGTGAGCAGGCTTAACTGGATTGCTCACCCCCCCTCGCAGGGCTTAAAATGCATATTACCCCCACATGTTTTATATCATTCGAAAGCTCTTGACGGGACGAATCCACCTATACTATCGCCGTTTTGATTTATTCACTTATACAAAAGTTATATTAAAAAAATCGATTTTTGATGGGTTTCTTTGCAGCTTCATATCTCGGCGACGGGGACATTCCATGCTACACTTTTTTTGCATCTTACAGAGGGAGGTTTACTGAGTCTTACCTATACCGCAGAGAGATCGGATGTACTATTGGAGAGTTACAGCAGGGAATAAAAGGCGCTTGAAAAACACAGGTAAATTTTGAATTTTAGTTAGTCGTCCCGTGGAATCTCTTTGCGAGGGTATAGGTAATACTAAATGGACCTCTCTCTTGAAGATGCAAAAAAATTAATTCATGAAATGCCCCCACTGTGGGGATATGGGGCTCTGACGTGGAGGGAGGGGGTACCGTTGGACCTCTGGAAACTATCTTACCTGGCAAAGATATTGAACCTCACAAATTATATATCGTTGTACAGCTTTTAAAGGCCAGAATCCGAATTTAGATCAAAATTGGCTTTAGCTCATTTATACAAGAGTTATACTAGAAAGTGATCTACTGCAAGTTACACAAGTTAGAAAAAGTGACCTTGCTCAATTATCGTCAACATCGTAGCTTCAACTTTACTGCCCTAGGAATTTCTCCTGACATCAGTTATACTAGTCTTATCACTGTGCTACACTGTGTATGTGTATTCTGCTTCAAGTGGACACAATTGAGCAACAAATTTTTTTATTGTACTCCATAGATACCGACTTACGGATTTATTTGCAACAATAATTCCTAATTATCGCGGAGTCTCTTATTAACATTATCCACATTTGTAGTTCCAGGTAAAACTTCATTCAGCACTTTCCAAGCCTCGAGTATCTGCCATTGTTCATTGTAATTTTCGGTCGAAATCACATTTACACATTACACGTTCCACCCACCTAAACATGCATCTTCTCACCGAAAAATGGTGTATGAAAATGAAATAATATTTATATAAATTCAAAACAAAGTACTTATAAACATTTCACTAATTATATTTCATACAAATCCAATTTAGAGAATTTGACCATTCAAACTGGATAATTTTATAATTTTCACCATTTTTCAACCCCCCCCCCCCCGGTCGACGCCGGCACTTTCCAGACACCCTTCACTTTTGGAGGTCAAAATCAGCTGGGACACCCTTCACTTTCGAGGGACCCCGATCACCCCATCGCACCTATGCTCCAACTCCTTGACCACATCTGTGACCGCATTATCAGTGAACAAAATCAACGGCAACCCCGAATTAATGCAAGATGGAGAGAAGCGAATGAGGGAGGCCTTTCGTATAATATATCTATGACCAGGTATCCTTCATGTATATAACCTTGGCATTATATACGATGTAATCGCATTATATTATACTATATTAGTTCTATCTACTTCTATTTTTGTGTATCGTTTTTGACTGCTCTGTTTGATTTCCTGTCATAGCAGGAAATGATTGTTATTGGCGTGTTCGGACAGGTTTACAACTACTTTTTGTTTATCAATGTCTGTTCTGTTCTTTTCTACCTTGTCCATCTTAATGTTTGCACGTTTTGCGATTTTCTCTCTTTCGCAGATTCATCTGTTGATCTTGGTCATAAACTGATAGCAATCTCTGAGTGGGAACAGTTCTAGGTAGCTCTCCCTTCAAACCTTCGTGTATCCTTTTTTTGTCTTCGTTGTTTGTGATTTTTTTCTTGAAGAGTGAGCCGTTAGAAATGTATAGGATTTTAGTATTCCCTGAACGATCGCTATACAGATGGGCATGTCTTACAAGGAATGCTTGTTTAGTCGAAGTGGCCTTTTTTGATGGCATGTATACCACATTGTAGAGCATGAAATGCTGATTCCAAATCTGCCTTCCGCATCTGCGGAGGGTTTATGGACGAGAAGTTATGAGCGTTTTTTGGAATCAAAAATTGAATGTACAAGTGTGACAAAAATAACCGTAATACTTTTTCTAGCTCTTCAACGGAGCAATGATAATCACCAAAACACTTCACTTGAAAATTACTCTAAAATAAAAATTATACCACACTTGGTTACGTTATTTGAAGGTTAGTAAGATTCTAACAACTCATTTTATTCAAAATGCTCAATCAATTTTTGGCTCCAAAAAACGCTCATAACTTCTCGTCCATAAATGTTCTGCAGATAATGAAGACACTTTTGGAATCAGCGTTTTATGCGCTTTAATATGGTATACATCACATTTGGAAAGGCCACTTCGACCAAACAAGCTTCCCTTGTTAGAATGATTATTTGCGCTCATCCAGTCCTGTTGAAATCTATGGGTATTTTTTATAGAGAGCGTGATTCTTCTTTGTTCGGTTCTACTTGTTTTCTTTCACGATTAATAATATCAATAATATCTAGCAACAACTCCTTTGAATCTGTTTCCTTCATGAGAATCTGATCGAGAAAACGCTATAGTATATACAGTAAGCGAACTTATAGAATTGGCTTTAACACATTGACGACAAGGCCGATTTTTCGATTACTGCCATTTCGGACAGGAGGCTTTTTTGCTCTGCCAAACTTACGACCCACCCGTGGGTCGTATTGTCCGAAATGGTACTCTTTTTGGAAGAAATTCAGAACATGTCTCCGAGATTTTCCCCACAAGGGTTATCGAACGCGCTGATTACCAAAATATGATTTATTTCAGTTTTTGGCGTTATACGGTAAGGTTACGGTAGTCATTTTTTTACGAACCCAACATCATGGATTTTCATGAAAATTTGTGTATTGGGGTTATTTCACGTGCTGATCACGATTATAGTGTCCACTTTGTTCACTACATTCTCACGGTGAGACTACGGTAGCAGTACGGTAGAAATTTTGCAGAAATCAAGAAACTGATGTTAGAAGGTGGTATCAAAACTTGAGACTATCATTTTCGTAATCAGCATGCTGCAAAGCCTATATATGCAAAGTTCGAGTTTCCTAGGATGAAAAATGCAAAAAATCAATAAAATCAATAAAATCGATAATTTTTGATGGGCTAACGTCAACCTCTTGCCCGCTTCGTATTACTCTTACATGCATACCTTCGATACATAGAGCCACGTACTCTGGTAACCTTCACTTTGAGGGCTATGAGGGGACACAACCTTCACCTGGAAAAAAGCAGAAGTCATCCGCGGCGAAGCCCCGGATGTTATCATCCTGACTATTTCGGAACGAATGCTAATGAAGCAAATATAGAGAATAATATTGTGAGTTTATCTCAGCGAAACCGAGAATTTGCGTTTTATAGACTTTTTTACGTTGAAAGGAAGGTTTCTATGGAATTTTCGCCAGAATTCAAGACGAAATTTCTCTGTTAACCTCTCATTTGAACAAAATCGAGTATCAGAAGTTTAGGAAAGCCAAATGGAGTTAAAGAGAACGTGAAACTGCCTTAAATCTTGCGCAGAGAGTCGCGTTCGAAAACGCTGGTCTATCTCGTTAATGAGTGAATTTTGAAGCTTGGGACGTTGTCAGTTCTCCTCGTCGTGTCATGACGATCAGAATGATATATAATGTTGCAGGGTTTCGTTGAGACCCCGCAGAGATCTACGACCAGAGCCAAATGCCCCGTCGGCTCTGGTCTGGCTCCGCTGCTCGTCTGCGTCTCCGCGCGCTGCACGCTACCTCGCTACCCCATACGCGGGGCGCGGGGCATTTGGCTCTGGTGCCCTTTTCTTCGCTGTTTCGAACCCAAATTTAGCAAGCTATATATCATTTTGAAGCTCTTAATCTCTATTTTCACGCTGACAACGTCCCAAAACCACACTTTTTGATTTGGTCGAGAAATCCGGCAAAAACCTTGTTTTCGAAAATCTCTTGTTTTTCTTCTAGTTCAACTCTTTTCATGCGGTTTTTTCATGCAGCCTATAGATCTTGCTTGTGTTCATGATGCAGACAACCACCCAGCTCTTATCTCTTGGATTATGGTGGAATTTTTTGCGAAAAACCGTAAAAAGTGCGTTTTTTTTACCTTGTTCAGTTTCAGCGCTTTCGCATCGATTTTTTCCCAGCTTGGGCGATTGTTGCTCAGAACAATAAGCGCAACAATCCAGACAACGTCCCAGGGAACAGGAGCGTCAATGCGGGGGTAAAAATTTAAAGGACGCATCAAAAATCAAAGCCCCGTGTTACGAATTGCTGGTCCTAGAGCGAAGACTTGCACTTTGAAAAGCCGCCAATTGAATGATTTCAAGCCTCATTTCAGCGTTTTTATCCGGTTTTCAGCAGTTTCTTTTGCTTTTTACATCTGTTTTATGTCATTTTCTCTTCTCTGATCATCTTTAAACAACCTTCACTATTTATGACCTCAGATGTTCAAACAACCTTCACTTTTGACGCCCTGTCTCTAGACTATCGAAGGTATGCTTACATGTAAACTTGATTCTTCAGAAACAGCATCATTTTAAGAAGAATTTGAGCTAAAGCTTTTGCCTTATATATATCTACCGTATACTTACCGTAACATTACATTACAGTACCCCGAGCCCGGACCACTCTGGCTGGAGCTTCACCTAAGTGCCCCCAATCAGGTGCCAGAACCCCGTAGAATTCCGTCGTGAACTGGCAAGGACAGCGCTTTATGAATCTTACGACCCACCGGTGGGTCGTATTGTCCGAAATGGCAGGATCCGTACGACCCACCGGTGGGTCGTATTGTCAGGGTGCATCAAAAGGAAAACACTCAGGGTGCATCAAAAGGAAAAAAGATCAAACAGAAAGCTCAAACAAAACACAACACATGAACTAGCCTCCCAGTCAGGGAACAGAAAATAAAGGATGGATAACAAAACACGAAGCTCTAGACCCATCTAGCGAAGTAAAAAGCACTTTGCACAAAAAATCTAAAGACTTCTTGCATCCTTAAAATTCATGATGACCCCCTTTTGGGTGTCAGCGAGCCTTCCCGGTAAAAGCTAGCTGACCAGGCCCCGATAGGACTTTGTTTTGAAGGAAGCAAGAATCCAAATCGGAGTGGTAGGAATAAGTACCTACCGACTACGTTAGAACGAGTCAAACCAACAGACGAAATCAAGCAGACTAAGATGGGGCCAGGCTACAATGAGGTAATCGAATGATATTAACGTCACCCTGATGAAGAGACTCGCTGAAGTAACGTTAGTAAGGCATGATCATGGTTAGTAGTAACAAAAAAAATTTAAAACTGAAGATAACGTCCTCTTTCTAATTCTATGTAGCCGACTATCAAGACATGAGCAAAAAGATGTCAAATAACATCAGCGACGACTATGTAAGCAGCACGTAGTAGCCGTGACACAATGCAACATCACCAGTAGTAGAACCACATGCATCGTAGTTACCAGAGATGAACTGAAAAAGTAACGACAGAAAACATTATCGAGAAAAAAGCCGAGTAAGCTCAACCCGTTTCAACTTAGCACTGAAGCATCGCGCATCCTTTGATGAAATGATATCTCTGGGCAACAGCTGAAACCATCAAGCGCATCTACAGAAGATATTATTGTATTAGGTTGTCCGGAAATTAATGTCCGTTTTGAATTTCAACCGCAATAAGTCATACACTTCTCATTCCTGAATATCTTTCAAGATACCATTTGAAAGAGCAAAGCAAGCTCTACAAGATGGCAATCTTGATTTAACAACAGCTCTGATTAACCTCGAGTTTCGAGTCAAAAACTAAAAAGATTCAACTACCCGAAAAATCGAGAAAAATCATAACTCAACAGGAAATGGTCAGAAGTCGAAGTGGCCAAACCAAACAAGCTGTATACCATTCGATGCAGTATAAAACGCTGACTTCGAATCTGTCTTTCTTATCTGCTTCCCGCTTCTGTGGACGAAGCTACAAGCTGTTTTATTGTAAATCAAAATCACACATAAATACAGCGAAATTGAGCCCACTGTTGCACTTTTAGCTCGGCTTCTTTCTTTAAAAATTCGAAGTAGGCTAGCTGCATTTTTTGGCCCAGCATTAAGGCGAACGTGGCTCATCACGGCTAAATTTTCAATTTCACGCGCAATTTCTTAGCAAAATAATGGTCTTTAATGGCTTGTAGCTTCGTCCACAGAAGCGGGAAGCAGATAAGAAAGGCAGATTCGAAGTCAGCGTTTTATACTGCATCGAATGGTATACAGCTTGTTTGGTTTGGCCACTTCGACTTCTGACCATTCCCTTGTCAGTTCATAAGAATCCTGCAAAAATTCTAACTTGCTCACGTAAACACTATCCACGTAAGACATATATGTATGTATACGTATATGTATGTATGTATGTATGTAATATATATGTATATGTACGCTATTGCCGTATTTTTTCCTCTTTTGGAAGTCGAAAAAACGAAAATGTTCATGCTTTTGTCAAAGTGATGCTGTGTCGTCCCCACATAAGTGGATGTGTTCTACAAATCTGTAGAAGTACAAACGTAAATTTCCAGCTCTCTACAAGCTTTAGTTCTCGAGAAATATCGAATACTAGCTGGCTTACCCGGCTCCGCCGTATGTTCCGAATAGAAATTTCCATTTCTTAACCGATCCGGACCAAACTTGGCACACATACACTTCGCACATACACCCCCCACAGGGGTGATCAGCATGCTCGATTACCTTCCTGTGCCAACTCCCAGCCCCGTAGCTCAAATTTTGCAAAAAATCGATAAAATCGATATCGATCGATGACGAAAAGTAGCCTATGACACCCGCCGGGGCCCGAAGTGTATGTGTGCCAAGTTGTTCCGATCGGTTCAGAAATGGAATTTTCTATTCGGAACATACGTACACACATACAGACATACAGACATATAGACAGACAGACAGACAGACAGACAAACAGACATTCAGCTTTAAGTCAAGGCAGCTACCAGATAGACTGTCGTGTTCTCGCTGAACTGCTTACCTCTTCATTTGACGAGAATGACTCAGACGTGGCAGACAACTTGAATTTAATCACGGCTTAAAAGGGGTCAAACAAGGCGACAACGGCATTTGATACTTACATTGGAAAGCAATCATCCGCTTCTCTTCAGTCCAGGTATGACCGTCGCGTAGTCGATCACGGCGAAAGCTTCCATCGTCATCTCGTCGGCATTCTTTCGAAACAAGATGCCTGCAACAGCTCTATTACAAGTTAGTTCTTTTATTATTCACCTGTATGAATCCAAGCCATTCATGAGCCCCTCCGCTCGTTGAGATTTCAGTGTGCACTCAAGTCGTACAGCCCTCGAACAAACTTTTGTTAACTCTCTCAACACCGATCTCAAAAAACCGCATAAAGCTGAAGATTTTGTATTCACTCAAACTTACTTTGTCTCCTCACTGCACTTAGCCTTCGGGCTCTGAACCACTTCACACCCTCATTATACTCGCTCACGTCGACAAGCTTAGCCATCTCAACAAATTCGTGGGCGATGTCTTGCATGTCTTCAAAAAAAGATAGTTGAAGGGCTATGAAGAAGATATAAAACAAACCTTTAATTTGCAAGCTTTTTTTCTGACGGAACTCACTGATGGCAGAGGTAAATCTACATGGACGATGCTTGCGTATAAGTCTGGGTGAATTTTGAGTTCCAAAACAGCAAAAAATCAAAATTCAAACTTACTTGTAATACATTCGGCATACATAGCAAAGTTTTACTTCATCAACCGCTGCAGCGTGCAACACTCCTCACCGCAGTCATCGCAAAGACCATCCTCATAGTCAAGTCATCGTCGCATTTGAAGATCCAGAAACAGAAAAATCCAGAGGCCCTACCTTTGCTGCATAATTGATTTCTCCAGAGAAAAGACCAAGCTATTCATTACAGGCAACAAGTCCATTCGCGTCACAAATTTATGGAGAGAAATTTCAAAAATGTTCTAGTGAACTTTCAAGAACTTTACTGGCACGAAAGAGTTTCTGATGCGGCCATGAGGTGTAGAGTCTGTCCCAATTTGAGCATCACAGCTCTAGCTCCTCCGGTCCTCGCTGCCGCCTCGCTTAAGCCTCCGAGACACTTTCTCATAGTGAGCACCAATTAAAGGCTAGAAAACGTCCGCAGGATATATTTGCGACCGTGGTGCACCACCGAGCGAAGCGAAAGCGAGGACCCGAACCGTTGAGGCTGTGACGCCCTCACTAAACAGCTCTACGGTGCGCCTGTGTCAGCCCTGCACAGTGGAAGGCTGCTAGTACGCAATCACTACATCGTGTAAGAATTTTAAAAAAGTGAACACTATCAGCCTGATGGCAACTGAGTTGGCACGACGATGTAGACGCCGGTAAGCAACTCCAAGAGCGAAGTTGAATTGACAAATTGGCGTGGCTTTCTGAGCAAGGTGACTAGCACAATAAGAGGTTCAAGGTGAAAATGAATGAGATGAAGAAAAATCCATCAATACATACATATCTTCAGAACCTCGCTTGAGTGCTCCATAACCTTACTGACAAGATCTGTCTGAGGAAAGAAGAAACCGCTTTCCCTTATGGAAAGAGTTGCGAGACAGATATGTCGCGAAACCACCTCCGATGGCAAATACACCAAACTCGCGTTGACCTGAAGAACCATGAAAACTGTTTGCAGATTTGGGCAAAGAAAACAAAGCTCAGAGACAGATCAGATGTAGCAAAATCTTTCCTGATATACTTTTCCTCATGATATACAATCATTTGAAAATGCATATGCTGCACTAAGGTCAGTTGTTGAATGGGTGTTTAAACGTAATATATGGTTAAGTCCATCTTGCTTCCTAGAAAGCCACTTGGTGAAACTACCTGCAGTTTATGGGAGTAAAATACTCTATATCAGGAAATCATCAACCACTACAACATGACACGAACATTCATAACTTCTGTGCTAGAGGTTACACAGTTACGCGTCATGCTGTAATGCTCAAAAATAAAACAGTGAATCACATAGCTGCAGTAGCTGGTTTGGTTACATCTCGAGAAGCTGAAATCATCGCGACACGGATACGTTTTAGAAGAAGTACTGAGGAAGCTGAACAAATGCTGATACAGCACACAAAATGCGCACAGCTGGAGAAGCTCGACAAATTTGTACAAAGCGCACTTCTCGCACTTCATAACGCTCTGGAGCACTTCTCAGAAGTATTGCAATCGAGCGATTTGGTTCGAATGTGTGCAGTCGCACAACATTGAAAACAATAAGGAAAAACAGAAAAGACACGAGCAAACCTACTCAATTCTACTTCCCTAAAATCAAAACAAAATCGCCACCATCTTGCCGGCGACGACGAGATGGAAAGACCGCTCGAAAAATGAACTTTCCCGCATTTCGTGATCGTGCAGAAACTTTGCACGAGATGTGTTTCTACAGTAGAACGAAATTAACGGAGGAATTACGACGTATAAGTTAATGGGGTCAGGCGCAACCCCTCAAAAGCTCAGGCGGCCTGAGCCTTTGAGTGGTTGCGCCTGACCCCACTTCGTCTCAAAATGAACTTTTCCAAATAAATCTTATATGATTCTTTAGTACAGACCTCGTAAATCCCTATAAGGGGTATGTAGCTGATTAGTCTTGTTTGGGCTTTTTGAAAGCTCATGGAGTTAGTTCGTTCAAGGCGAAAACGCAATTCTCGGAATTTTGATCGGGCATATGAAACCATTACTTCAAAGTGGTTTGAAGCGAAATTGATAGGGTTATTAGGGAGGAGTACTACTTTGTAACAAGTGCAAAAAGGTTGACTTTTTTGATCATTGGAATCAAGTCTCGTGTTTGATAACAGCGCCTTCCAAACATTAGAGAAGATGGAAAATTGTGACAGGAAATCATACAAAGGGTCCAAAAAGGGTTGTTTTGCATGCTGATTACGGAAATTGCATTCAGTTTGCTGGTATGAGACCTTTGGCGTGATTACGGTAGGTATACGGTAGGCTGAATAGGTCTAGCCAGATCAATCTAACACTGCTGTTTTTGTAGCTGCCTAGTGCACTGACTACAAATTCTATTGTTAATCAGTCATTACATAATCCTAGTTTCTTTCAGTCTCTATACTAGAATGCCCATGGTGCAGCTGGAATGAGCGGCCAAAGTTCTGGTGTTCTTGCAAAATTGAAAGAGCTGGTTGCCCGTGAAACCTCTGCTCTTCATCCACGACTAACGCTGATGATAACATTGTGTATGGCTCACAAACTGAAAGCAAGGAAGGCACAAAAGGGAGATTGTTCAAAGCTGGCTCAAAGCGTTTTTATGAAGCTATATCATTTATTTGGATCAACTGTCAGAACAAGTGGAAAAAGCATTTACAAAAAATTGCACAGAAGATGTGCTTTCCAGATCTACAGATGAGTGCTCTCTTTACAGTAAGATGGTCAGCCAGCTTCATCAGTTCCATTTCTAATACACTTCGGGTTTATCCAGTAACCCTTCAAGCTCTCGTTGACATCCGAAGCGACAGACGCCTGGCGAGCATTCTCATAAATAAAGCAAGACTGGCACACATGATACTTTCAGATGCGAGAACTTACATAGATTTGCACCATCTTAACACCACGATGCGAAGTGACCCTCCCTTTCGAAGTGGTCCTCAAATTTTAGAGAAGAATCAGTTATTTTACACTTTTATCGAACGCTATTTCAGAATAGTAAGGAAATGTAGAAAGGTACGATTATTTTGTTTTTCTCATCGATATCCAATATAACTTTCTTGCAGGCCATAAAATGCATAATTTTTCTTCCTGGCAGCAATGCGGACCCCGAACGCAGCTTCTCCGCTGTAGGCTTTCGAGAGAAGAAAGAAGCAAGGTAAAAACTGAAACTCTTGCTCATATTATGACGTAAACTTTTTTGACATCTCGACCACTTCGGTCTTCCTAGTGTTTTAGGGTGCAACGTGATGGACCTAGTGTTCTTACTGCAAAGGTACAGCAACTAGCTTCTCAATGGATACACCCCTGCTTCAGGTCTCGGCCTTAGTCCCGGAATGCCGTCCACTCTTATTCGAGAGGGTAGCCTAATGGAAGTGAAGGAAAACCTCGCAAAAGGTCAGAATGCTGTTTTCTGCTTGCAATCTTGAAAAATCTAGACGATGCTCATGAACTGGGCTCACTGCATGTAAGGTGTTACATGGTAGTTCACGGACTCAGTATGACGCCAATGATATCAGAAACAAACTACTGCAGGAAGAACTCACCAACTTGCCTACCTTTTCTGTGGGATCAGCCACAAAATCAGAATAAATAAATATTTTACTTCACAACAATTGTTGATGTATTTGATTCTTTATTTTTTTTACTAGCTCCAACGGCACGATCAAGCAATGAGTTTGTTCATGTACAAAACCATGATATTTGTGACTAAATCCTTTGTGCAGCCTTCCGAAACCTGTAAAAAGCAAATTGAAAAAGGTTCATTTACTGTTTTTACTTAATAACAATGCCCGTAATTTTCCCACCTTAGCTAACCGGAACTCAATAAAGCCAACGATAATAAAGAGAGATGAGTTGTTCTTTACCAGTGCATTTGGAAAATCTGTTCTGCATTTCATATAGTTTTGGACGATTTATGATCCTATCCCCAAATACGACCCCCCCCCCCTCCGGTTTCACCCCTAATACGACATCCAGGTCAGGCGCGCCTGACCCCACGCTCAACCTGCGTGAGACCACATTGGACACATTATCTAAACAAGCTTAATCGTGTACTACTTAGCAGGTTTATACTTGTTATGTATCTCGTCCAGGTTTATTCACTCTTTGGAAACAGGGAAGAACAGACTTAATCACGTTGAGGCAATGTCCGCAATGCGGTCACGCGTCTCCTAGTCATAGAACAGATGATACTGTTGAATTATTTAGGTAGGTTTTTCCATGAACACGTAAGGGTTCCTTCAAAATCTTCCCCTCATCCAAACATGATTGTCGGCAAAAATTACCAAACTGACTCACCAACATACTATTCTCAGTGGATGGATCCGTTAGAGACTATGGGAGAGCGAAAGGAACACTGGATAGGCAACTTGCCTACTTTACATTTTTGGAGTCGCTTAGGCCATACAAAAAGATAGCTATCTTAGGACGATGTTAAATATTAAATTGTCCCATAAGTCTTTTCATTTTTGAATTTTCGCTATAATAAGTCACACACTTCTCACTCTAATTAGACATCAGGATACCATTCGATAGAGCAAAGCAATCTCTACAAGATGGCGTTTATGCTTTTGCACAAGCTTCCATCCATCTCGAGTTTCAAACCAAAATCCAAAAAGTTTCGGATGCCCAGAAAACCGAAAAATTTTTGTATCCTCGTTCAAAAAAATTCTACAGACCTCTAACTAGCTCACGCATATACATTCCATATCAGACATTCATATGTGCTGTTGCTGTATTTTTTCATCAGCTAGAAATCAAGAAACCGAAAATTTCCATGTTTTTACCAAAGTGATGCTGTGCTGTTCTTACACTAACAGTTGTATACTAGAAGCCCTTAGAAGTACTACTGTAGATTTTTGGCTCTCTATATGCTCTGGTTTCCGAGATATGTTGATTTAAGCGCGAGAGACCCAAGCGAAAAAAGCTAAATTTGATATTTCTCGTTAACCAGAGCATATAGAGAGCCAAAAATCTACAGTAGTACTTCTAAGGGCTTCTAGTATACAACTGTTAGTGTAAGA